AAACGGCCAGCATACGCTGCCACGCACTGGCTGGCGCGAGCTTCCCCGCTCCATGGTGTCAGGCAGGCCAGCGCTTGGCAACAGCGAGGTACTAGCTCTACCAAGGACAATAAGTTCCTATGTGAACGGTCGGTGGATTGCCACGTAGGTATGGACCGTGGTCGTCGTCTGGCGAGCTCGATACCTTAGAGTCGCGCAGCAATGGCTCAAATTCACGGACGACAAGAGCAATCCGATCAGCCACAATCGCTTCTTGCAGTCAACGACACCAAGGCGCTGCCCGACCACCGCAACCACGGCGCGAGTTTGGTCTTGCTGCCGGTGCATCTGGTACGTTTTCAAAAATGCAATCTCCAAGTGTACACTCAAATTGGAGATGCGTAGACTAGGTCAATCGTGGTGACCAAGCAAGCGCCTTGGCCGCCGTGCAGATCCACTGCGTCAAGCCCTGGGTCGTCGCACCCTCGCGACGTTGAACCAACTCAAAGAACCGCATGTAGCAGGTACAAGCAACATGTTGGGTATCGTCTCCTAAATCTTGCGACCTCGAAACCTAGAGCTTGACGTCCGATTCGTAAAGGCCGCACCGAGTCGGAGCAAGTAGCAGCAAGCAAAAGCTGCTGAGCAACAAGTAGGCTGTGGAAAAGCGGGCCAAATCACATGCCAACGCGCACTCGTTCTTCTTTCATCTACACATCTACCACGGGTCCAAGCTGGTAGGACGAAGCCTCTCGGTATAGAGTTCATTTCCCCTCATTCTCAGCTTCGTGTGCTTGAGCGACCCTAGTAGCTTGCCAAACTTGCTGCTCGCTATTGGCATTAACTGACCAATGAAACGCGTTACCCACGTAAGCTGTCCAATGAAGAGACGCCCTTCTTGCAATCGTTTCTATTTTAACCAATCACAACGTGCATCAAACAGCCTGATAGATCGACCGGATACGAAGCGGTGTCTATCCGGACAATCTTGGCCCCAGGATCCAAAACACAAAACGAGCCGTTGCGAGCATGTCGGTCCAGGTCGCCGAGGAAGGCAACAAGCGCAAGGGTGGCATGACGGCCGAGGAGACGGAGCAATGCATCTTCGGTACGGCCATGACAAGGCTCATGAAGCCTCATGCTCAAGCGATGTAGACATCCTCAGCTGGTTCCAGCGCAAGAAGGCCAACCTGCCCAAGGCAACGATCGCACCCGAAGGTACATGGCCATACATCGCCAAGCGTGACCAATATGACTAGAGGTCGAGTCGCTGCAAAAGGCCCTGGGCGTGCCCGTCCCGCGGGTAGCTACATCGTCTTCAAGAGCGAACGCGACCTCATGCTCGCATTAGGCGCTCGGGTACTTGCTCGAGAAGCAGAACGGAGGCGTCTGGTTCAACGAGTACAAGGTAGCCTTCATTTCCTCGCTTCTTTCATGTATCTTATGGAGTCGCTAGTCGTTGAGCTGCGACGTACGTCCTTGCCGCCATCGACGACGCATGGATCATCTTGGTTAGGACATGATCTCGACGGGCGAGACCGCGTCGCGCTGGGAGAGCTGGGCGCGGGGCTTCATTCCGCTCGCGGCCGACCCCGATGGCAACCTCCTCGTCATCGACACCAAGCATGCGAACGCGGTGCACGAGTGCTCCGAGGACGGGCTCGGGCGGGAGCTCGCGGCCTCGTTCTCTGCGTACGTCGAGACATACCGCAACGATCTTCTCTCGGGCAACTTTGACTTCGTCGAGGACCTCGGTCTCGTCGAGCGCGCGAGTCGCAAGTAGATCCCTCCCATCTCGTCTCTTTCCATTCCAGAAAAACACACCAATATCAAGCGAGATGGTCCCTCCCGTCGTGTATACTGGTATATAAGTTAGAAAACAGCCAAGTACCTCCTAGACACTCGAGGTCGCAATGCCCATGCGCTTCATCTTGCGGTCCTTCTTGGCGGCCAACATGCGTTCGTGGCGCCTTCGGAGACAGTATCCAAAGGCCGAGATGAAGAGCACGGAGACCAAGACCGTGCCAACGAGGCCCATGATCGAGATGTCGCCGGCGTCCCCCGCCGCATGCTGCTCGGCAATCATGAACGAGAGCTTGACTCCGGACGGGTACACGCGTCGCGCAAACGTCCCTTGGGTCCGCAGCACGCTCGTCCGGTCCTGGATCTGCGCATGGAGGTCGGCGACCACGTCGTTGAGCGACTTGCCGCTGGCTTGGTTGGGTGGCAGCAAGAGAAAGGTCACGCGGATGCTGCCGTGGACGATCGCTTCAATGTCGAGCCGGGACGGCGCTACTTGGAGGGCCGAGGCGACTTCCGTCACAAAGGCTGTCGCGAACGCGTGCTCGGCCTTGCTCGAGAAGAGAATATCGTCGTAAAACATTTCAATCTCGTAGATGACCTCAATGAGCTTGGAGCCGCACTCGAAGCCATTGCAAATGTATGTGAGCGTTGGCTGGAGGAGGCCGTCGCACTTGATGTCCGAGACGGCCGCCATCGAAGCGATCGACGTGCACGTCGCCGAGCGCTGGCGAATGCCGCCGCCGCAACCCGTCGAGCATTTGGACCACGGCCCGACGTCCCAAAAGTACTGGATCGCATCGTCGCGCCGCGAGCAGTCGTGGCCGACAAAGCCGGGCTTGCAGAAACACTCGGCCGACGACGTGCTGTCGTTGATCTGCGGCGCGTAGATGGGAAAGCACGCGCCGTGGCCCGCGCACGTCTGGCTCGTGCAGAGATCGGGCGGGTGCAGCGGCGAGACGGGCTCCGACTTGGCCGACCACGTCGAGACGCCGTTGGTATTGCGCGCGCGGACCTTGAACGCATACGAGATGCCATTTTGGAGGTTGGGCACGATCGCGGTCGTGGGGACGGCGCCGTTCTGCGTCGCGCCGACATGCACCGTGCTCTCGAGGGGTGTGTTGGAGCTCACGAGCAAAAGCAGGATCTCGTACTCGAGGATCGGGTCCGAGCCGTCGTCTTCCGGTGCGTCCCATGTCACTTGCGCCTGCGCGTCCGAGGCCAGCGCCTTGATGTTGGTCGGGTTGCCTGGTACGCCGTGGGTCGTGTCATTGACGGGAAACGTTCCCGTCGGCGTCGACGTCGGGACTTGGATCGTGCTCGACGCGTTGATGGCAGTCGCGTTGACGTCGTCGACGGCTGCTGGCACGCCACGCCGGTCGCCGGGTGCACTCATGTTGCTCGCGTGCTGGAAGAGCATGCTCGTGGTAATCTCGCGCTCGGGCGGCGACGCGGCTTCCACCGAGTCGAGGGCCATGACGCTGAGCGAGAGCGAGAGCAGCAGCAGGAGCGCTATCCGCAGGCGCCGAGGCTGCGACGACGTCATGGGCTGCTTGTACGGTGGCACGGATTGGGTTGTGGCATCAGGCATGGCTTCGGCGAGGCCCGCTGCTACAATAAAAAAAGCGTAGCTACCTTTCTTTTTGTAGGTAATAAAATGCGAACATCATTCGGCCCTCAAGATTGGTCCGTTATGTTCCTAATTAGGATGTGAAAATTGGACGTTTCGCGCCGCAATCCGGTCGTGTCGCACGAGTAGCCACGACGACCACGATCGCGCCGAGGTCCCTGCGCCGAGGTCCGAATCATGCCAAGTCGACGCAGCTCCATGCATATTGAAGCACAAATGCAAGGAAGATGAGCGAACACGCCATGTGCGCTCCCTATACCAATAGCTGCTGGCTGCGCAGTCCATACCACAAGTGCACCGAGACGCGTCGTGTGCAACTGTGGGACTGACCTGCTGCCGGATGCTGGGATCCCATGATGCATCGGGGGAGCTTCCTTGGCATCCATCCTGGTCATTTCGGCTGCATGGACGCAATGTCTCCACTGCATGGAGACAATGCTGTTTTATCTACGACTATTGTAGTACGCGACTTGATTTCTAAACCAACGCAAGCGAGCGACGGCCGCCCAGTAAGAATGGCCATCTCCCAACGCCGGCGAAACCTATGTGCACAGTTCCAAGCGTACATAGGTAGGCACCCTGTCGCGCTGGCGTGTTCCATGGGAGCCATTGAGACGCGCTACGTACTGACAAGCCGACGGCTTGGCCTTCGCGTTCGACAAGAGTTCCTCTGGCACGCTGTGCCGCCACAGATCCGTACGAGTCCCCGTATCCGGATGTCGTCTTCCCGCCATGATGCTGAGTCGATCTTGGAGCCCAAGATGACGATGACAATGTCCTGCAACTGATCTCGCACGATTTCTCCCGAAATGGTCTTCAGCGTCAAGGCCATTGTAGTCAGCTTGCAATCAAGCCCCGTGGTAAGTGATACGATGGGTCGAGGCCCGGCGCCGGTCGCCCTCGGAGACGCAGGTGCTGCATCGAGTACATCGAAGCGCACGTCCTCCTTGCACCTAGTTGAGTCCAAATTCTTCTGCGATTGCGATCCCATTCTAGCCATGCCATCCCATGGGATCGACGTTGCGATGGCACTCGTTGATGTTGTCGGCCGACACTCTTGGAATAGAGTGTCGTCATGGACGACGCAAGCCGTCCACCCGACATTGCAGAAGATATTACATCCAATTTGTCCTTGTTAGATTTGGTACCACTTCTTTTTAGCCTCGCGCTCGTTGAAGGCGCGCATCGTCTGGTAAAACTCATCGGCGTGGCGCTTGAGCTGCTCCGTCTTCTCGCCCAAGTCCGAGAGCTTCTCGCCGCGCAAGTGGAGGTTCTACAGAGATAAACAACTATTGTCCGCGGTCATTGGCCGATCCAATCACGTACTTGCGTCGCTTCGTTCAGCGCCCCCATCGTCGCCTTCATGTTGCCCTTGACCTCTTTCGTGGCACCCGTCGCTCGCGGCGCCTGGGACCGGTCGCCCATGAGCCGCTCGCGCTCCGATTGGTCCTTGGGCGGCACCGCAAACACCTAACAGCAGAGGATGGTTCGCAAACTTTCACACCACCCATGTGTCGTGCCTTGTTCAAGTCGACGTCGGTCGAGCTCGACGAAAACACTTTGAAAATACTGCTGCTGTTGCGACGCTCGAGGGGTGGTTCGGCCGAAGTTGATTGCTGCGCAGGCTTGTCGCTCGTCACGCGGACCTTGGTCGTGGCCTAGGAACGCCACCAGGCGTTAGGAACCGTGGTGGACAGTATCGCGGTCATCTATTTTACCCATTGCAGCATCGACAGCTCCGACGCGAGCTCGCTCTGGAGCACCGAGAAGCGCGCAACATCACCCGACGACGTGCACAGCAGAATCTCTGCGCTCGACGCTGCAACGCCGACATGGACATAGTCGAACGCGTAGCCAGTCTGCACCATCGACGGCAGCGACGCACTCCAAATGACCCGCAGACTCGGCGCCGCAATCATGTACATGTAGCCGCAGTCGTCCAGCGCCAGAATCCCGTGGTCGAGCCTACACGTGCAGAATCAGCATCCTCCCTCCTCGTGCACAAGACACGACCGTCCGTCGATCGGAAGGCTCACAATCGCCAGAGACGCAATGGTCGAGCGCAGCTCCACCGACGCCTCGACATCGACCGCGAGCGTTGGTGTCGACGACGGGGACGTCGCAGCGTTCGGTGCAGTCTCGGGTGCGACGGCCTTGAAGATGGCGAGCGACCGGCCTGTGGCGCAGAGCAGATACGGCGTCTCGGCCTTTCTGGGTGACGCAAACGTCAGGAGCTTTGACTCGGTGCTGAGCGACGCTAAGAGCTGCACGACATCGTCTTTGCGGAGCTGGGAGACGTCGGTGCCGTTGATGGCGACAAGCGAGCTCATAGCTGTCACGCCGTGTTGCCGCAAACGAGCTGCATTGGGTGCGTCGTTCACAAACGCCTACGACGCCTCAGCTCACGTCCACACGCAACGATGGTACCTTGATGAGGACGCGGTCTTGCACTTCGTCGTCCAGAAAGAGTCCGAGCGGCCCGGGGGCCAACGCCACGCGCACGCCTTGGTGGCTCTCGGTTGGCCGGCGCGTTGGCGGCGCCGCGTAGCTCTGTAGGATCTCGGCCACCTTGTGCGCTGTCTCGGTCTTTTTGCGCTCATCGTGCGTCTCGTTGTCGGCTCGGCCTAGAGGCCACGTCATCAAAAACCACGGTATCGCCAAGGTCTCGCGTACTCTCCAAAGCGACGGGATGCACGGGCGCGCCGTTTTCGTGGATCAAGAGCAGGTGGGCGATCGCATCGAGCGGGCCATCGCTCACGCGGCAGCGCGTGAGGAGGTCGGCGGACACGAGGTCGTAGAGCTCGACGCAGCTGTTGCCGCGGCCCACAAACAAGAGACGCTCGTGAAGAAGGAGTGCGTTGACACTCACGGCCTCCTCGGTTGAAATGTCGAAGACCGCAAGCTTGTACTCTTGCGAATTCAAGTGCACAATGGAGACGACGCCAAACGAATCCGAGGTCGCGAGATATCCCTGGGACGCCGAGACGACCATGTGATCGATCGCACTCGAGTGCACGTGCAGCGTGAACGCGAGCTGGAAGCCTTCCTGGAACGAGAACACCGCCACCTCGCCCGACTCCATGCCCACGAGCAGCAGTCGCGACGGGGGCAAAAGTGCACCGAGGTCACTTGCTTGGACGTGAGCTCGAGTGACATAAGATCCAGCGTATGCAAGAGCGTCAACGTGCCGGCGCCAAGGCCGTCGTGACGTGGCAGCAGCTCCCAGAAACGCACGGCAGAGGTCGATGCGTCAACATGGGCCGTGACGACCAGCGACGCGCGGTGCAAATCCGTCGCTTGCAGCTGCACACAGGCGTCGTGCGGCAGCTGCGGCGTCACGTGCTCGATCGACCCACCCCGAAGCGGCGATGACCACCCGTTGAGGCTACTTGGCCCGGCTTTGGCCTCGCACGTCGAAAAGAGATCGTCCCGCAGAGAGCCGTTGGCACCGCCGAGATCGACGATCTGCCACGCCGCGACGGCCGGTGTCTGGACCGACGACGACGGGAGCGGGAAGGGCGCAACGTTCATCTCGATCCAGACAAGCTCCTCTTTCGGTGTGAGCGGCTGGACGACGCTGCATGGCACGGGCAGCAGCTCAATACGAGGCAGCACGCCACCCATGGGGTCGCCGACGAGCGCAATGCAAGTGAACGGCGTGCATGACGCAGACGGTGTCATATGGCTCGTCATGACGACGTCCATGACGCGCGATGACGTGGGCAAGGACGTGATGCGCCACGGAAACGACGCATGCTTGGTTATCGCCGAGAGCGTGTCCTTGGCCGAGATGTCGCGTGGCGCCGCGTAGAGCTGTACGGACGGCGACGACGGAGTCCACGCCAACATGAGGAGGCCTGGCGAGTTGGCGTCGGTCGCTGCCCACGCCAGCCGCGTCAACGGAGCCGACGTCGCCGTAGGGAAAAACGCGCTCTGCTGCTTGTCGGTGCGAAAGACGCCAAACGCGCCGTCGTGAAAACCGGCGGCGAACCGCTTGCCGCTAGCGTGCCACGCGAGGCTCTGGACGCTGCCATGGGCCGGCGGCACGGTCGCCTTGTGCAACACCTTCTTCTTGGCGAGATCCCAGAGAAAGATGCTCGCCTCATGCGCGCCTTCGTACGCCAGAAGCAGCTGGTTGGCGTCGCTCGGGTTGCTTGCCATCGCCGAGACTGCAACGTCGTCGCCGCTAAGCCCGAGCTGCGCGGCCTGGATCGCGTACGTAGTGAATGCGCAGGTATCTTCCTGCACGACCTACAGCGTTGCGCTTGAGGTCGTGCTAAGGATGGGCAAGAGAGAGAGAGAAGACGGTACCTGAATCGATGCGTCGTCAAGCGCAAGGAAGAAGAACGGCGCCGACTTGTGGCTTTTGATCGTCTCGACCGCCGTGATCCGACACATTGTCCAGCTAGTTGCGTTGGCATGAAAATGGTGTGGATGTTGAGGCGTGTACCTTGGCGGCAAGGATGCGACGATCGGCGATGCGCCAGATTGCAGCTGCTCGAGCGAGACGACTTGGACGCCACTGTCGGACGAGACAAGTACAATGCGCCCGTTCGCTGTGGGTTGCAGGAAGCTCGTGGACGCGCCGGCCGTCGCCGTCGCCTCGTTCGCGACGCACGAGACAAACATCTCGAGGCCGTCTTCTCCGTAAAGCTTGATCTGCTGGTACCCAGCAGCGACAACGAGCAGCTCGTGGGCCGCGACGTAGCACACGAGCGACGGCTGCGCGGGCAAGCCATGGTGGCCGGCGAGCGAGACGGTAAACATGTCGGGCGCAAGGCGCGAGTGGTCTTCGAGGACCTCGTCGACCTTGCCTTGGACGAGGTTGAGCACGCCCTGCAGCGACGACCGCTTCGACTTGCGCGGGGACCCGCTTCCTGGCTGATTCCCCATGCTCGCCTGGCACCTTGGATCCGAAAATGAAGCATTCCGAGGTGCAATAAATAAACAAATATAATGAAACAACATGGGCAAGGTGTTGGCGAATTAAAATCATGTTATACAAATAGACAGATATATATTGCACATCCGATAAAAAGAATGCGAAATCTTTGTTTAAAATATTGCTATTTTTATACGGCCCAGTTAAATTCTCCCGACGCACTTTGACCTGCATGTGTTGGTCGCGGGCCAAGGCGCAGGAGCCTCAAGATCGCACCTTGAAGAGGCTGCATTTCTTCATGCGCCGACGCTACAATGTGTATAGAGCTTGAAGCACGCGTCTATTGAAATGTATTGGCAAAGCTGTGAGCCAGCTCGCGCGGAATCGCGGGCCTAACGGTCGTCCTAACTAACCTCCAAGCGACGCAACAGGGATCCAAGCGCGACTATATTCTCAAGCAGTAGCGCGAGAGCCTGAACCGACAAGTCGGCGTTGTCAACCGAGCGCTTGGAGCACTCCTAGGTCGAGCGTTCTCGCCAGTTTCGATATAATGCAGCCGCCTCAATGTATGAGCGTGGCAAAACTGAGCGGCTCGAGAACGCTACGACTGCCACGTCATGCACACCGCTTCTTGTCGGAGCGCAACATCACCGTGAATATAACCGTAATTACGGTATGTATCGTAAAAGTACAGAGTTGCCAAAACTGGCCTGGACAATCCATAAGGAGCATCGACAGTTCGCATTCAAAAGACGTGCTTCATATACGTATACCACACCTGCGCACATTGCCGTGATGTAGCACCAATGCAGATGAACGAGGTGAGCCAAGCCTTGATACCTCTGTACAAGGCAGTCTACCGGTAGCCAGTGCGATGGAGAAACATCGTCAATGCTTCTACCATTTTCACACCCTTTCCCATGTAAAACCATGTCAGCAAATTGCTCATTTACGAAAATCTCGGGTCGAGCGCCGTAGTCCGAGTCCAAGGACAATTGTCGTGGCCGTCCTTGGACCAGGTCGCAGGGAGATGCCGCAAGGTTACTGCGGCTGATTCGGCTGCTCGCCTCGGCCCGAGGTGCCTACTTATCGTTTGTGACTAGGTGTAGAGTGATACAGGTGAAGGCAAGAGCCCTACCGGTACCTTGAGGGAGGATCTGGGCTAGGTCTAGTTTGCTGCAAGCTGTCAGTTCTCATTTTCTTCTCGTCGACGCGCACCGGCCGACAACAGGACGCTGGCGACGGAATAAAACTAGTTTTTTCACCAAGAAGAAGAAACCAAGAAGAAGAAACTTGGTGAAAAAACGAGTTTTATTCCGTCGCCAGCGTCCTATTGGAGGCGGGTGCGCGTCGACGAGAAGAAATTGAGAGCTGAGGATTCACGCAGCTAACAGCAAACTAGACCTAGCCCTAGTGGAAACCTTGAGGGAGGATCTGGGACGCGGGCGCATGGGGGATCATGGGGCTCGGTTCTTCTCGAGGCTAAAACCAGACTCGGGGATGCTACTTGATTATCCCAGAGTCCCACTGGTCACGACCGGAACAGGACGCCGGCGACGGAATACCATGCCTTGGTTTCGCCACGTCAACCGTGTCGATCCGCAAATTTAAACACAATATAAATGGGGTAAATACGGCCATTTGACCTCAAAAGCAGCCGGCTGGTGATTGGTGTAACCGCTGTCGGGATCGACCACTCGGTTGAAGACATGGCACAAGCTCTCGGCGAGTCGATCTCGCTCAGTCTCGTCGAGTCTTTTGGGCTCAATGGTCATCGTTCGACGACAGCTCCAAAAGCAAATGCAGAAGTATGCTTGGTCATTTCATGCGATGTACTCAGAGCCATCAAGCAGGGACCGGCAACGTTCACAGCCTATCGGTTCATTCCCAACGTCGCCTTGTTCAGCGGCCGCGTCTGTCATCTCTCGACACTGCAGTCGCGTTCATCTTGAGCATTTTTAGAGTGACGGGAAGCTCCTCAAGTGGTCCCACGCGCCCAAGGGATGCCTTCTTCTGCACGTACGACCGACATATATACATTGACTGCACCATGAGAGACGGGTATAGGGCGACGTCTTTGGCGACCATGCAGGCGCGGTCATGGTGCTCGAGTATCTCGCGCTCTCTGACACGACCGGGATTCTCTTTAGCGGGTCGGCCGACCGAACCATCAAGGCACACCGTTTTTTGGATTCAAAATGCTCATAGATGATTAGCTTTGGGATGCAACATCAACTGCATCCCTCGAAAATGGATGTGTCCAGACGTTGAATGGCCACGGCGGCACCATTACGCTGCTGCGAATGGCTGGAAGCACGCTCCTGAGCGGCAGCCTCGACCGCACGATCAAGGTCTGGACTCGCGATAAGGACCGCGTGCTCTTGCGTCACCCGTGGTTCATGTGCGTGCAAACGCTCTCGACCGGCGGCAGGTCGACTCCATTGATTTCCTCTCGTTCTCACTGCGCTAAACTCGTTTCTCTTGCTCGTGTAGCTGGCCCACGGCCGTGTGCTTGAAGCTCGGCGATGTCACCTCCATGTTCCTCGGAGACTCGTCCGGTGGATTGTCTGTCTATACCGCGTCGGTGCGTCTTCTCGTGGTGTTTGAGCGTCCCATGTCGTTGTAGAGTCGGTATTTGGACCGCCAGGCCGAGGGCGCGAAAGGGCAGCTACAGCTTAAACGGCTCTACTCGCATTTACATTCGCTCGGTATCACAACCGTGCTCGTCATCTCCGAGCAGGTATACTACATGACAATATTGTACATCATCCATCTACGATGGTATAGAATCTACTGGTGACCTTGGGTTTTGACGACAAGGCGCAGCTCTGTGACGCGACGTCGGGTGTCGTCGCGGTTACGATCGACAATGCACCGCACCACTGTCGGTTCCGAAGCTGCGACTGGGACACGGTGCACCGCGAGCTCTTTTTTGTCGACGACGCTGGCGTCTTGAGCATTTGGAGCCTCGACAGCGAGACATGCATCAAGCGCGATGTGCTCAGCGTCAAAGCGACTAATATCTCGGTGTTTACCGGGTATGGCACGTTGACAACTTTTCATCTTTCCCTAGACATAAATCAATTGTAGCTCGAGCGGCGGCTACCTCATGGTGCAAGGCGCGTCATCCGCGGCCAAGTTTCGAATCGTGCGTGACGCCACGTACATCGAGTGCCGAGCGCACACGGACGCCGTCATTGCGGTCGTTGCAATCGTCCCAGACGATATGTCCTATGCTCACACATCGGGGGCGACAGTTTTTTCTGCGTCGCTCGATAATTCGCTTCGCTGCTGGGATCCGTACGACCTGCACGTCTTGTACGGGTATGTCGTCTCTGGTATAGGGGTAGGGGTACATGTAGGGTTAGGTTCCAGGAAAAAGCTTCCGAGCTCAGCGCCATGGCGTACTCGCCCATGCACCACCGGCTCCTCACTGGCAGCGACGACGGCACGCTCAAGCAATGGAACGTCGACAACGGCCATTACTCGGCGGTCTCGCAACACAAAAATACGATTAGCTGCATCACCGGTGCGTCGTCGCGATACAATTTTCACATCTGAAAAACCACCACATCTGGTACTAGTGGCAGCGGTCGATGGCATCGAGTATGTGTTTACGGGCGACTACAATGGGGTGTTTTGGATCTGGGAAATGATGCCGGGACACGCGCCGCCGCTTCCACACTGCGGAATTCAGACCAAGGAGCGATCGACGCCGTGCGAGCTCTACTGCATGGCTTTCAACCACGGTATGTACTTGCCCGCCGCGCACGCCGAGTACCTTGCGATTGGCGACAGCCACGGCGACATTATGGTACGCAAAGGCGATAAGTTATACTAGATGACAATGTGTCCACACTAGCTCTATGGATTCGACAACCAGGGGCTCCTGATCACGCTGAGCAACCACCACGATGCGGTGACGTGCCTCGCTTTTGACGGCAGCTTTCTCTTCTCGGGCTCGGAAGATGCGAGCATCAAGATTTGGAACGTACTGGATCCTCATGCTGCGTACGAAGTCGGATACCTTCACGCGCACGCGTCACCGGTTCGGGACTTGGTCGTTTTGCCGCAAACCGGCTACGTCGTCTCGTGCGCGCACGACGGCAAGGTGCGCGTCTGGAACTACCAGGTCTGCGGCCTCAACGGCGAGTACGCGACGCTTGTCCACGAGTTTCGGTGCGTTCTATCCATTGTGTTGAGATCTGGTGTCAAGTCTGGTGGTAGAAAACCAGAACGTCTTCACTGTTTGGTCTACTGGCCACAACGACACGCACTCGTCTGTGGCACAAGTGACGCGAATGTGCTTGTCTTTGACGTCCCTTCTCACGTGCGTCTTGACGAATATTGGAGGAATTGCTCGTGAAATATGCATCTCTTTCGTAGCTCACCACCGCCGATTCTTCGACAGACAATGTAATTCCAACTTGATATCTCGAAACAATGACGGCCATTGGAGCGTACAATTCACTACAGTACATCGCTCTGTCGCTTGTGGTTGCGCGAACGGGCGTTCCTACGCCGGTGCAGCACCTCCACAGCTGGCGATGACATATTATACAATGCTCGCGATTCGGTGCATCTATAGCTATGATCGGTACTAGTAGTACCGATCATCCCACCTACGTACAATTGCCAGATGCGATAACGACATGAGGAGTATAGTCACGTGTATAAGAATATCTAAGATTTGCGTCGGCGCGACTGCCGCGGCGTGGGCTTGCGCGCCTTGCGGTCGCGCGAGAGCTGAACGATGCGCCGCCAGAGGTGACTGAGTCGGCGCAGCGCCGGCGAGTAGGCGAGTGCGCCGTAG